GAGAACGGAGCCCTCCCCCGCGCCCGGGCCTTGCTGCTCCTCTCGCCAGACGCTGCCAGCCCCTTTCTGCCGGGAGACCCCCCCCCCCCCGCCCCCCATGTGCCTTCAGGGTGGGGTGCGAGGACAGCCCTCTCAGGAGCCCCTGGGGAGCCCTCCCCAACCTGCCGCCCTCCAGGGGCTGCACAGGCACTGCCAGGAGCTCCTGCGGCTGCGGTCCAGCGCAGCTGGAGGGCACCAGGCGGGGGGAGAGCCCCGTGGCCCCTGACTGGGCAAACACCCCCCAGGGCGGCCTGCCTGCTTGCCTCCACCAGTGCCGTCTCTTCGGTGCCATGGTCCGGAATTTTTGAGTGGTTTTAGCTATTTTAAATGGGTTCAAGAATGTACATATTTTGGCCTTACTGTAAGATTTCTGGAGTGCTTTTATTGCAAAGTCCAAGAAGCAAAATCCAACATAAATCTCACGCACTGTAGGCCCACTCAAGAGACGAGGGCTCTACTCGCGGGAAAACCGAAGTGCTGACTCACCAGCTTCCACGTGCTCGGTGAGTTTCTTCACCAGCTCCTCGGTCTGTGTCCTCTTCGCGTCCGTCGTGGCTTCTGCAATGTACATGGGTGTTTGGGGGGTGCCAGCCGTGCTGCGACCCACCCCTGCCCTCCCCAGCCCCCCCCCAGCCTGCGCCGGCACCGAGTTGCTCCGATGTTGTGACACGTGGAGAAACACTGACCTGGCCCCAAGCGGGTGAGGACGAGGAAGCAGCTCTTTAATCAGGTGGGGGAAGAGGTCGTTGCAAGAGCCACGCCAGGTCCCGACGGGGGCCAACCAGGGGCCCCACAGGAAGAGGCTGTCCGGAAAGATGTGGGTGCTGCTGCACCCACAACTGGCATGGAGCAGAGCGTGGCCCCGAGGCTGGAGAGGCGGTCCTCCCCGAATCGCCCCTCTCCTCTCTCTGCTCTGAGCCCCCTCCCCTGCCACGTCTCCCCTCGGCCACCCGTTCTTCCCGGACAAAGCCACCGCCAGCACTCCAAATTTTCCCACCCCGACCAGCCCAGCGGCCTCGTTCCTCGTTCTGCCATATCTCTCAGGGGTCCTCGGGGGTCCTCGGACCAGAACGATGTGCGATACACGGCCTGTACGTGAGCAGCGCAGAATCGGTCTTTTCCACAGGGGCCACGTCTCTGTCCAGCTTCCCCGTCGCCCCCTGGGATCCCTCCCGTGGGCAGTCGCCGCCTGCCCGGATCCCAGCAGCCTTGGGGTGTGGGGTGCGCCCCCCCCATCCCGCTCTTCGGCTGCAGAGCACCGGGCCTCACGTCCGAGGAATCAGATGCAAACCCAGCCACATCACTGCCCACGCGTGGCTCCACTTGCTGTGGATACGGCAGGAAACGCCTGTCCCACCACAGGTCTTTGGGGAAGGTCCCCCTCCCCGCCCCCCCCTTGTGTCCCAGCGCCACGAAGCTCCCCCCAGAGGCTCTGCACAGGGCTGTTGGCGGGGGGCCTTCTTGAGAGTAAAACCCAGAGAGCCTTGGCTGCAGCAAATGGCGCTTCAGGTCAGGAGCAGGGCTGTGCTTGACTTCCGCCTCCGGAAGCTGGGGAAGGCCCGGCCCCGGCACCCCCCAGCGGCGCCTCGGGGGCCTTCCGCTTCCGCCCGGCCCAGCCCCTCGGCCACTCACCCTTCTGCTGCAGGACGCCCATCTTCTCGGCCACGGAGGAGTTCAGGGCCCGGAGCGCTCTGCCCATCTGCTGCGAGCGGGAGCTGGAGCTCTGGCCTGGCCGGGGGGGGTGGGGATGTGGAGAGGGAAGATCAGGGCCCGCCCGCTCCTTCGCCTCAAGGAGCCGCCGGGGTGCCACCGTGGGGACCCGGGGCGTCCGGCCCCCAGGCCCTCCTTTGGGCGGCTCACCGATTCTCAGCCCGGCCCACCTCACAGGGGTGTTGCTAGCCGGGGAAGCTGCCCTGGGTTCCCCCAAGAGGAAACGCGCTGGGGGGCCAGTGGGGCAGCCCCCGTTTGGCACGCGAGCGAGCCCCATTCTGCCGCGGTTGCCTCATCGCTCGCCGCCCCTGGTGCCATGCGCTCGCACGGCCTCCTCTCTCTGGCCTGGCTCCCCGGCCCTTCGACGTGCTCGCTGCGCCACTCACCTCTGGCGCCGATGATGATGATCGCGAGGAGGAGCGCAAAGCTGGCTCCCAGCAGGATCAGGACCAGGCGGCGGCTGGGGCAGAGGCGCTGGCGCCACACGGGGCTCGGCAGAGGCAGTGCGGGCGCTGGGCGGAGAGGGCGAGGGTCACGGACCTGCCTGCCCCCCCCCCGCCCGGCCAGGTGCCCGGCACCGTCCCCACTGGCTCAGTGGCGCAGCAAGGCCCCTGCAAGGGCGGCGTGTGGGTCGCTGTCGAAATGCAGGTTGTTGTGTTGCTTCTGCCTGACTGACTAGCGAGCGAGCCACGGTTGGTGCTGGGCTGCGATCTCTGCCCACCATGGTTTGAGATCTCGGCTGGGTTCCGACGACCAGGAGAACTTGCAGTCAAGTGCAGAGCGTGAGCTGAATTCGGGTTGTCCCCAGGACAGCGGTCTCTGCAGTGTGGATTACTGTGTTGTCGGAACCCAGTTGCGATCACAAGCCATGGCTTGTTACCCATGAACAACCCACAAACCAAACCCAGCTATGCTGCTGGGTTAGGAACTTCGGGCCCTTCGCCATGACTTGTTTTGGTGGGGTTCGAACGACAGAATGACCTGGACCTCTTGCACAAAGCTCTTTCTAAAGACATGAGGAAAAATTCCCGAAATTGCAAGAATGAAACCATTTGGCAACATTTGTCCTCGGATGCTCCGCAAGGAGGGCGTGAACCAAGGAGCAACTGCTAGAGACGAGGGGCCCCATGGAACCCGCCTGGGCTTGCAAGCCACAGCCGTGAAGGCCCCGCCGTGCGATGGGGCGGGGGTGTCGCATTGTGCGCTTGCCCCAGAGTAGTCAAGACCTCCTGGATCGGATTCAGTGACTGCGAATTTGGAATGGCGCCCAGTGATCAGTCATGCATGCTGGCTGGGGTTGCTGGGAGCTGTAGTCCAGTCTATCTGGAGGGCACCAGGAGGGGGAGGACTGTCCCAGTGCAGCTCTTTCAAACCCCTGACTATTCCTGGCCAGTGGCCAAGGAACTGGCCGGGCTGGGATAGCTTCACTGGAGCTGCTGAGCCGAGTCCCTCCTTTGCCATTATGAAGAGTGCCTCTCGCGGTACCTTTCTGGACGGGGGTTCTGCCCTCCTCTTCCTCGGCATCCAGCGATGAAAAGTTGTGGTACTCCTCGACCATGGTTGCTCCAGAGGGGCTCGGGGCCCTGGCGGGACGGATGGCGCTGGGAGGGAAGGGCCCTGCGAGGGGGAAGCAGGCCGATCGAGATCTTCGGGTCCCTTTGTCCCTCCAGACCGCGCCACCCCTTTCCCTGCTGTGACCCAACCTTCAGTACATTTTCAGTGGGGCGTGCACCCCGCCTCCGCCCCCTGTGCCAGCCGCCTCACCTCTCCCCTCAAGGACACAAGCGGCCCCTCCGTGCCAGCAGGGTGCTCCTCCCGGGCCGCAGGTGCCTCGGCAGCTCCCACAGCTCACAGCGAACCTGGCCAAGCGGGAGACAAGGAGGACAGGTGAGTCCGTGCTCCTTCTCCGAGAGGCCAGGAACCGCTTCGAAATCCGCTCACCTGTTGCACTGGCTTCCCACTGTGTCGCCTTGTACATGTCCGGTTTGTGGGCTGAAGGAGCATCTCAGTCGGCCCACACGCAACAGGACAGGCGCACACCTGGCCCCCATCCTTCACTGGACCTCCGAGCCCCGCCGTGCGCCGTCCCACCACCCACCTCGGCCGCGGCAGCCAGCAGCTCCAGATCGGCTGCTGCGTTTGCCAGAGCCCCAGCCCGGCAGAGCTGGCTTGCCCAACTTTTCAGCCACCAAATTGCTCCACTGCTCCTGCTACACGAGGCCACGCGGCAGCGGTGCTGGGATCCGGGAGCGTTGGATTCGCTCTGAACGCAGCTCCCCTTCTCGGCGCACCCTGCACCCGAGAGGGACCGTTGGGGATGCCTTCCGGGCCGGCAGCCTTTCCAGGACTGCATGCAAACAAGCCCGGACTCCCCCCTGCTCCACCGTAAGGCCTTTGCGGGCACCACCCCACTGCCAGTGAGACTTTGCACCCATGTGCAAAAAAGAAAAAAAAGAAAGATGAACCTGGGAACTACAGACCAGTTGTCTGACATCGATCCCTGGAAAAATTCTGGAGCAAATGATTTAAAGATCCATCTGCAAGCATCTTGAAGAAAAGGCAGTGATTAATACAAGCCAGCATGGATTTATCCAAAATAAATCCTGTCAGACTAATTAATCTCATTCTGTGACTGGGTAACCTCCCAAATGGGCAGAGAGAACAGTGTGGACAGAATCTACCTAGACTTTAGCAAAGCTTTTGACATAGTGCCACATGACATCCTGATAAGCAAATTAGCAAAAACTGGACTAGATGGAAAAACTATGAGGTGGATCCAAAATTGGCTGCTGAATTGGACCCCAAGAGTGTTCATGGCACCTTCTCACATTGGATGGAGGGAATTACTGGGGTGCCACAGGGTTCAGTCCTGGGCCCAGTGCTTTCCAACGTCTTTATTAATGATTTAGATGAGGAAGTACAAGGAAAGATAATCAGATTTGCAGATGATACAAAATCGGGCGGAATAGCAAACACCCTAGAAGACAGAATGAAGATCCTGGGCAATCTTGAGAAACTTGAACGCTGGGCTGAAAGCAACAGACTGAGATTCAACAAGGACAAGTGCCAAGTTCTCCATCTAGGAAAAAGAAACCAAAGGCATCGACACAAGAAGGGGAATACGTGGCTCCACAGAGCTGAAAAAGAACTTGGAGTAACTGTGGATGATAGGCTAAACTTGAGCCAACACTGCAATGCAGCCACCAAAAGGGCAAAGGCTATTCTGGGATGCATTAGCAGAAGTATGACTTCCAAATCACGGGAAGCAGCAGTTCCCCCATACCCCTCACTAGTCAGACCTCGCCTGGAGTCCTGTGTCCAGTTCTGGGCACCAAGATTTAAGAGATGGGGAAAAATTAGAAAGGGTCCAGCGGAGGGCGACAAAAATGATCCAGGGTTTGGAAACGCTGCCCTGTGAGAAGAGACTGGGAGAACCGGGCATGTTCAGCCCTGAGAAGAGAAGGTTGCGGGGGGGGGGGGGGATGAGATCCCTGTTAAGTCCCTGAAAGGCTGTCACAAAGGGGAAGGTCAAGGTCTCTTCTCGCTGATGCCAGAGTGCAGGACACAGGATAATCAACTCAAGTTGTGGCAACCCAGATTCAAGCTGGACATCAGGAAAAGCTTCCTCACGGTCAGAGCAATACGACAGCTGCCCGGAGGGGTGGGGGGCTCTCCCACCCCGGAGACATTCAAAAGAAACCGGGCAGCCCTCCGAGTGGGATGGTGGAGCTTGGAGTCCTGCGACAGCAGAGGTCGGACCCGGTGGCCTTCATGGCCCCTTCCCGCTCTGCTGTTCTAGGCTTCCGTGACGTGGCGTACCCACCTCGAGTTCCAGGAATGTGGCAGCCCTTTGCATCAAGGGAAAGACGAGGAGGAACAGCCTGGGCTTGAAGAGCTGTCAGCTCTTCCTTCACGCCCTCTTGTCTCCCAGGGTTCAAGGAAAACCGTGCCGCTTCTCCTGGCTTCCCCGCTTGCCCTCTTCCATGATGGGCGCTCCCCTCTGGTGATCTTTGCACTGTCAATACGCTCCTCTCTCAGGGGACTGAGCCGGGCGCGAGTCTTCCAAAAACCGCAGCCCTGCACCAGTGGCGTCAAAAGCGGTTGCGCCACCTTCTTTCCATGCCCCCAATCCCTCCCGCCTCCGCTGACACCAACCCCTCCCCAGGGCTTCCTCTGAAAAGTGGAAGTTCAGCCAGGAGCACTCACTCTGCCGGGAGGAACCAAGCTGAGTACAAAATGTGACCCAACAAATGGAAGTCGATTTTGATGACAATATGCATGCCTTTTGCAAGGAACTGTGCCCCCCCCCCGCTCCCCCGCACGAGGTCAGACGGGGAAAGGGTTGGGCTGCAGGTGGCCAGTAAGCTGAAGAGAAGGCCGGACCGGAAGAGCTGGCCAGCTGAGTTACTTTCATTGCTTCTCACTCCTGGACTGCTTTTTGCAGGTGGGGCCAGGGGTGGGGGTGGCAAGGGGGCCGTGGAAAACCAAGCCGAAAAGAGTTGGCCCAATCGCAGGCTCAAGGGCTGCTTGGCAAAATCAAAATTAAACCTTGAGTCCAGTTTACTTCTGCCTGGCCTGAGCATTCTGAAAGAGCTCAGACCTGAAACAGGCGGTGCTCTACAAAGGACACAAAACTTAGGATTCGAATCAAGTTCTTTTCTGAAAGTTTAGAAATGAGACAGCTTTTTTTAAGTCCAGGGGAAGAGGGAACAAAATATCATGGATAAATTAGTTTAACAACTGATTGAAATAGTTATTAGAGATAGAAAGATTAAACATCTAGTACAGCAAACCTTGCTGAAAAAAGGCAATGTAGCTTCTATAAAGGGAAATCCGGCACAGTTAAACTTCTGGAGTTTTTGAGAGGTCAGAATGAATGCATGTAATTCAGTGTTTGGGACTATCAAAGAATGAATGAAAGATGGGGAGAAGGTGAATACATTTTTCATATATACTTTTATGATCACTGAGAAACAACATCAAAGGTACTGAAAAAGTTTCTCCAATGAGACCATCTGGATACCACCACAAACTTAAGACAATTTTACCCGATATGAAGGAAATGATTTCTGGATCAAAGGACTCAACAGTTATCAATATGGGAGTTTTTAAATGAACTGATTAGAGTCTTAAATAGTGGCAGAAAATTAGGGTAATTTTTTTTAACACAGGGAAATGACACTGGCCCGTTCAAAATGACCTTTTTACCAACCGGGAAGCCAAAGCGATTGCCATTTGAACCTCGCAAGGCTAATAAAAAATGTATTATTTGGAAAGAAAATGTTTTCCAGCTCTTTCTCTTATGGATCGGAGTTTCTGTTTCCACTTGCTCAGCTGTCCTGCCGATTCCAGTCTGTGCTACATCTTTATCTGGCCCTCCGTTTTAGTTTTGGTCTCTACCTCAAGGTCCCCTTTCTTTGGATGTATCTCCTGGTGAACTTCCCTTTTCTGAAGCAGAAACTGACCACACGGGCTCGGTATGCACCTTCCCACCTGCAGAGCCTTTGCATGTGACCGTGAGACGCTTGGGGTTCAAAGATGCACAATGTTGCCTTCGCCCATGCGCTGAGTGCTCCGGCACCCGGACACGGAGGGGGTCGCCATGCGCTCTTCCCACGGTTGGGATCCACCAGCACGAGTGTGGATCCCAACAGAGGTGCTCTGCCAGAAGTGGAGAGCTGCTGCCAGGTGCCGCTTCCTCGGTGGACTCACGCCCTTGCCCATTCTCCGCCCAGTGGAACCATTTTGATCCAGGGCTTGGAAGCACTGCCCTGTGAGGAGAGACTGGGAGAACTGGGCACGTTCAGCCTTGAGAAGAGAAGACGGAGGGGGGACATGAGATCCCTCTAGAAGGACCTCAAAGGCTGTCACAGAGGAAGGTCAAGGTCTCTCCTCGCTGATGCCAGAGTGCAGGACACGGAATAATCAAGTCAAGTTGCGGCAACCCGAGTTCAGGCTGGACATCAGGAGAAGCTTCCTCACAGTCAGAGCAATGGGGCAGTGGAACCAGCTGCCTGGAGGGGTGGGGGGCTCTCCCACACTGGAGGCTTTCAGAAGCAACCTGAGCAGCCCTCTGAGTGGGGTGGTGTGACGTGGTGTCCTGCAGCAGCAGCGGGTTGGACTCGATGGCCTTCGTGGCCCTTCCAAATCTGCTATTCTATGATCCTGTGATTCTGCTGGGGAAGTGACCCAAATGCAACGGGGCCGAGGAGGCTGCCCCATCCCTGAGTCAGTTCCCCGGCGCATCAGCCCAGTGGAGTCAGCCCTGAACGGCAGCCACGGCCCTCCCTCCGAGGTTTCAGGCGGGCGCTTTCCCAGCTCTGCGAGGACACGGTGCTGGCGACCGGACTCGGACAAAGCAGGGCTCCACCCCGCTGTCACGGCCCTTCCCCTGTAGAGCTGCGGAGCTGCTGGGCGAATGCTCCCGGCTGAGCCCGTGCCTGTTGGATTCATGGCCGCATCCCCACCAGCGGCAGAAATGCCAGCTAGTTGCTCAGGCTGGGAAAAGCAGAAGGGAATGACGGGAACCCCCGAGGCATTTCTCCCACCTCGTGCCCTCTGAGCTGAGGGTGAGTGACCAGAGCGGCTGGTCTTGGAGCCAAGGTGGTGCAGAGCACGGGGGGGGGGGGGGGGGGCAGATGCGGCTGCAGCAGGAAAGCAACTCCGAGCAAGGAAGGCCCTGACAAGGACCAGACCGTGTGGCACTGTCAAGCCAAGGCACACGTCTGTGCTGTGACCACACTCGGAAATCTGCGCATCGCTCTGCTCGCCGCATCTCAGGAAGGAACTTTCAGAGGTGGGGAAAGGGCCAGAAAGGGTGGTCAGCTTGGGCCCTCGGCAGAAAAATCCGGGATGGAGCCTGGTGCCGGTCGGGATGTGGCGGAGGCGTCCAACGTTGTGTGTGCTGCAGAGAAAGTGAACGGGACAAATCCGTAGTGCAGGAGTCAAGGAAGCCGAATGGCGGGCGATCGAGGCGGATGACAGAACTCTGTCTTCACACAGCGCCACATCCTTCTGCCAGAGGCAGAGGTGGACGAGGACGTGGGAGGCTTCAGCGGGTACGTGCATGTGCCGAAGGGGTTAGGGATCGCTGCTCGTGAGCAGCTGGGGAAGGAGGGCCTGCCTGGTGTGCCGGAGGCCCTGGGAAGGTCCTGGCGGAAGCCCGGTGAGCCCCGCAGGGGCCAAGAGCCCCGGTCCAGGTGGGCCAGGGCGCCAGCTCGCCCGCTGTTGCCTGGGGGTGCTGTCATGGCCCTCCGTGGGCTCCCCAGGAGGGCCCCTGCTTCCCCGTGCGGGAAACGCTGCTGGCCCAGACGGACCTTTTCTGCCTTCACCCTGCGGGGCTCCTCATCAGCTCTTGGGGGTTCGTGCCGGCCCCGGAGAGGAAATTTCCTCCTATTGACGTCAGTGGGCGGGAAGGAGAGGAAATTTCCTCCTATTGACGTCAGTGGGCGGGAAGAATGGCAGGCTCGCGTCCTGGCCGCAGCGCCGCATCGGACGTGGCCGGACTCGCCCCAGCCCCATCCGGCGGTGCCTCAGCCCCCCGCACGGGGAGATGCCTGGCTGGGCAAGGCCAAAGGCCTCTTGTCACAGAGGATGCTGGGAAGGAGACATAAGAGGAACCAAGCTGGGGCGAGTCGGGGCAGGGATCTCCCCGAATTGGCAGGAACCGTTCGCGAAACACCCCGAGTGGCAAAGCTGCAAGGTCAGCTCGTTGTGGTTTCACTTCCATCGGCTTCTGAGGAACCTTCTGCGCGGGGGTTTCCTAGGAATTGCTGTGTTCACCGCTGCTGCTCTTCCTGCGGGGGCCTCTCGGCGTCCCCCAGCCAGCACCCCGGGAAGCAGGAAGGGGAGGGTGGCAAGGCCGCCGACGGGGGTGGCTCCGGGCGGGGATCGGGCGAATCCAAGGAGAAGGACTCCTGGTCCTGCTGGCTGAGAGCCGCCTCCAGGGCCAGGGACAGCCCACCCGTGTGCCCCAGTCGCTGGGGCACATGAGCAGGGGGCGCTTTGTGTCCATGTCCCGCTTGTGGGATCCAGGGCAAGCGAGGCCTCATCCCGCTTCCAGCCACGAAGGCCCCGTGCCACACGCACCAGACGGGCACTCCCCGGCAGTCCCAGAACCTCACGTGGAGGGTTGGGGGGGACCCAGGGGACGGAGGGGGTGCACTGCGAACAAGCGCGTTTATTCCACTGGGAGACCCCCAGTAACTACAGGTCTGGGGGCTTATCCATCGCCCGTCCAACCTCTGCCTAATGCCAGCAGCAGGGCCCAGAGCCTTCTGGGAATCTTGGTTAAGAGTGCCGGGGAAGCCTCGATGGCGGCCGCAGCGAAGGAAGCCAGGCTCAGTTGGGAAAGACCCTCTCGCCTTGAACCCCAGCAGTCACATCGAAAGGTCACCCAGGCCCCCTGCAGGTGCTGCCGACAGCATGTTCCCAGGGAGGGTCTGCCCCGCCAGTTGCAAGCTTGTAGAACATACACAGAGTGTTTTACAGGTTCTGAGTCACGTGGGCCCAGCAGCTGGGCAGTTGATGATGAAATAGGGGGAGCACAGTCAGAAGAAGGTGAGGGGTCCGCAGAGGGGGTGCAATACAATGGCGTCTGATTGCAGGATATTCACCTAATGATCATGGAATTATGGCGAGTCTTGGCATGCAAATGAAGGCGATTGCGATGCCGTCGGCCTGGCAGCCTGACCAGCTCTCACCGATTGGCAAAACGGCAGCCCTGGCAGCTTCGGGGGAGCCATCGGGTCCCACTTCTTAAAGTGACAGCAAATGCCAAACAGTGACCTGGCTTGGAATTTTTTTTGGGGGGTGCTTCCTGAGAAAAAGGGGTGCAGGCATTTTATAACACAAAGACACGTAAGCATCCCTTCTCTGCCGGCATTTGGCTGGATTTTCCCAGCAGCAGCCAGGAGAAGTGCGGCCCAGAAAGAGCTGCCGGGTGATGGAGGAATGTTCCGGCGGCTTCCGGACACGGGGTGGACCATCGGTAGCGTTGTGCCCTTCCTGATGCATGCCTGCAGAAGCCACCCAGAGATTCCCCC